AACAGGCGCACGCGGACACAAACGTGCATTCCCAGGTATTTATTTATTTAAGGTATTTATGATAATGTAGTGTGCTTGTTTTTCATCAGATATGATGCGGTGACATCTACTGTGGCAAGATATCTACACTTTGGTCTTGCCTTATCCAATTTATGTGGAGGCTGGAGCTGCATTTAGTCCCAGCTGCATTTAGTCTTTTTCTAATGTTACCGTTTACTGTTGTACTGCTGACATGCTAACTGATTGTAGATTTTGAGATGTAGCTCTTGAACTGATCTAGTTTCTGTGAGCGTTGCACAGTCTGAACTTGGGGTGAATTTGCCGGACATCCACTTCTGGGAAGACTGCGCATTGTTTTAACACACACCTGAATGCTCCAGACTAGCAACCTCCCAAAGTTTTTGTTTTGATGCAGGTGCTCACATTTGTCGATGATCAGTTAATCAAGTGGATTTGATGATCAGTACCATGCTGCTTTCCACCCTCTTAATTCTTATGGAAGCAGTTATTGTATATGTACTTTCTCACAGGACTACATAAAGTCCTGTGAGGAACTTTCTTTTTCATCTGGGTGTACATTGTTTGCACACAGGATGCATCAGCCATTGTTTAATTCCACTCTCTTGTAATAAATCAACTTGACGTGGCTTCAAAAATAAGGACCACTAGAGCGTCATTGTCTGTTTTTAAGACTAAATACCCCCAATCCTGTATCGTTGGTAGCATCTGGTATAGAAACATAAAGTAAAATTTAGAAATCAAAGCATTAATTTTAATTTACTATTATTAGATAACATATGGTACCAAAATTATAAATCAAGGTAAAAAAAAAAAAATTATATATTTTTTTATATTAGAAGAAAACTCACACTCCTAAGGGAGGTGCAAATCCAGTGCTGGACAGCAGCCAGCAGACTGAAAGCCTTGACCAGATTACAGGTATGGGTGTCTTAAGGTGAATCGGGCAGATGAAACAGGATAGTGTTTAGAGACAGTGAGTGAAATAGAGTGACCTTCCAGCAGTC